ACAATGATTAATGAGATAAGCAGAAATCTTAGTTAAACTCAGCTTCTTTATGTAAGTTATCAGTGTTGGGTAACTTCAAAATGGTTAGCAGAAAGATACAGGGTAGAAAAAAATTTCTATTTGTAATTTCCTTATCTTCTCTAAAAAGATATTCAGCACCTGGAGGCAGCTTACTACATACTCATCATCATTCATTCATTCATTCAACAAATGTATCTACCTACAACAAATTTTATCAAATTATTTTATTCTATCATGCATCAGTTTTCAAAATGCTAGAGGTGTGTAATTCATAGTGTTGGAATAACAGACAATCAACTACCAAACATTTAATGAAAAATGTTAACTCTAAGTCATATGTGTATCCTACTAATACCATATATAAAATATATTTTAAAGGAAATTAAGTAGAATAAAAAATAAAGGCCATATTGTAAATTACAGTAAATGATAAGAAGAAATTTTCCTACATAAATTTGACTTTCATTTCTATACTTCTATCTTTATCTTAGCAACTTCACTTTTTGACACACTAAACAATTATAATTTCATATACATTCTTCATTTTTTAAATAATGAGCATATTATACACACTCCTGTCATTATTCAATGTTTCAAAGCTTAACTTTTATTTAACACGTATACATGATGCTCAATATAATATAAAAATTCTGAAGAATTATTAAAAATTACTGTTATGATATAATGATATGTCTTACTTTCTTTTACCCTAGATATAATGAAATGGTATTTCTTATTCTAATAAAATATAATAAAAAACTGATCCTTCCCTATGTTACTATTGTTATTTTGAAGTCTCCCTATAAACTTGTCCTACTAACAAGAACAATATCTCATCAACAGATGCTCCCATTAAAGACATGTCAATAATGGTAACATCTTAAAACTTTTATTGCACTGCACAGATTAAAACTCACTCTCACACATATCTCTTTTAATCTACATATCAATTCTATTAGGTAGAGATTATTATCCCCATTTTATAGATGAAAGTATTGAGGCTTAAGGAAGTTGTCTGGCTTGTGTCAAATTACATAGCTAATTAAAGAAATGAGACAGCATTCATTTTTCTTCAATGCTTTTAATCATATTGAATGGATCCCTCTATTCATATGGGCCTAATTTTCTATGAAAATAAGATTGTAATTTCTCATTCCACATTCATCAAAAATTGAATATATCCTTTCAATATACCATGAAAATCTATATTTTACTCTTTACATATTTTTGATGTAAGTAAACATCCTAATTATGAACATGACTTACATAAATGATAAGTCCTCACCTCAAGCCACTGTAATCCTTTCTTAATGCCAATATAAAATATTACTCTATATTGTAACTTGTGAAAAAAGGTGTCAGGGAGATTCTGAATCAACAAAAGAGGCAAATATTGGAATGAAAGGGGAAGGACAAAGGGTGAGACAGAGAAACAGAAAACAAACAGCCAGCAGTAGTAGTATGAATTATTTGCTTAGTTACTATAAAAGTAATAATTACACTGTAACTCCATGGGAACAATGGTAATTTCACAGTAGCCCACGTTAGTGTTATCGTCCTATATCCTGATAACTGTGAAATTAATTTGTGGCACTACTGTAAGTGTCGGCCATAAGCTGTTCCCTTGGTAACAGTATTATGCTATCACAGAGAAGGAATGTTTGGCAGTAAAATGGGCAGCAGCAAGCTGATTATACAGGGAAAAGCTTCCATCTAAATACACATAGCATAGCAATCACCCTTGGAAAAACTACATGGCTTACCAAAAGAGTTCTCTCTGTTCACTGTCCATTATCTGTTGACTATAGTAGTTCAAATGAATAGCAAGTAATGATCAAATTACCAGCTTATATTTAGCAACAGGGCCTTCTTATATTTAAAGAAAAATGCAAGGATAAAGTACGAAAATTTAATACATTTCTTCTGCTCTCTTTTTTCCTTCCGCCCCTGAAATTACTACTATGCCATTAGAAGACACACACACACACACACACACACACACACGCTTCAGTGAAAACCATGCATGTAGTTGACAGCTAGGCAAACTTTAGCTATAAACAAAGATGCCAGGTATATTTTTAAAACAATTTTGTTTACGGAAATTCATTTAAGAAGGAAAATCTGTTACATCTACAATCTACTAATTTCAAAGTCACAGAAAGAAAAGTTGAACATTTGGCCAAAAGGATAGTAGCTTAGGTTTCTACTTTTTCTTTTTCAGCATGAAATAGCCAAGAGAGCATACACTAAGGTGGAAGAGCATAACTATATGACATTGTAAGAAATCCTGAATTATAAGGGTACATTTTTAAAAAAGCCATGATCCTGGGCTTTCTATGGTTAAACAACCTAGATGCAGAGGCCAGCTTCTCCTCCTCACCTCTTCTTTCATGAAACTAGCCAGGCTGAACATCATTTCAGGATGATAACAAATTGGCTGGACATACTGTTTAGATTAGCTAATATTTATGCATCTATGCTAAACCAAGCATCATAAGACTGGCACTATTTTGTATTTTTCAGATAGAAAATCCAGACATGAACTCTTCGGAATTCAGTAAGTCTTTTTTTTTCATCTATTTTTGTTTTTTGAAATGATCAAACCATACCTAGAGTAATGACTGCCTCTTAAGATTTATGATAAGCTTCTGATGAGTAATATTTTCCTTATACATGCAATACAAGGTTAATAGTTACTAGAAGGCTTTTTTTTTTTTAGATTTTATTTATTTGTCAGAGAGAAAGAGCAGAAGCAGGGGGAGCAGTAGGCAGAGGGAGAAGCAGGTTCCCCGCTGAGCAGGGAGCCCAATGTAAGACTCAATCCCAGGACCCTGGGATCATGACCTGAGCCAAAGGCAGCTGCTTAACCGACTGAGCCACCCAGGCGTCCCTAGAAGGTGTTTTATTTGGCATATCATAGATTCCTGTCGACCAAAATGACTAACCTCGGGGATTACTAGGTTCTGACAAGTTTAGAAGGGTTAAATCAGACCCAGGTATCTCTTGATCTTAGCTGGCTCCTATCCACCAATCCTTTTTATCTCCCAAGTACCTGGCACATAGTAGGCTTTAAATATTTGCTGAATAATTGAATAAGTATTTTTCAAAATTCTTATTTGAGCATATTCCTAGTAAGGACATAGTCCTAACTTATATTTAGAGTCCCCTGCTCTGACTTCTACTTCTCCAGGATTATTTTCCTAATTTAGATTTCTGGATATTCTCTCTGCAATTGTCTTGGAAAATATCACTGAGAATGTGAATTACAAGGTATTTTATTTTATTTTATTTTATTTTAATTACTAACTACACATAGGCTAACCAAAAACTAGGCTAATAAACCCTGATTTAACAGAATTCTCTGTGACAATAAAATACATAGTTAAATATTTCTGCTATTATGAATTTATCACTTACTTGGTATATGACCATGGACAAGTTTCTTAACCCATTTGAATCTCAGTCTCTTCATACATAAAATGGGTATAATGATAATACCTACCTCATGGGATTGTTATTAAAAAGAAATAAGATAACCCATATAAAGTATTTGTATAGTATTGAAAAAAAGAGATCACAATAAACATGTTATTATTTATTAAATAAACAGATTCAAGGTACTTAAGACTTACATACTTCAGTGATTAAATTTTTCATCTGCCATTTCATGTAGCTCACAATATGTTCAAAGACCTTTGCTAAGTTATTTACTATATACCAGGAAATAGAGGAAATATTTAAAAAAGGATACTTAGCTGTCAGAGAAAAGTATAAGTTTCAGCTTTGTCATTTAAGAGACTTCCCATCTACAAATTGTTAAAATTTTTGAATCATAATTTTCTATCTATAAAAAAGGATAGAGATTGTAAGTCTCTACTTGCTTATTTTTGTTAATATGAAATTCATACTTCTTTCCATGGCCAACAGACCCTGTCTTGCCTCGGATCTCATCTTCCTCCATGAAGCTCCATCCATATTGCCCTTTTCAGAGTCCTCAAACATGCCAAACTTGCCCTCATGTCAAGATAGGCCTGGAACTCCATGTCCTTTACCACAGTGGTACCTTCCCCTCACCCATGGAAAGCAACATGGATGCACAGAGGATGTATACAATGATTAGTCAAGCACATTTCATCAATTAAGAACAGGTTTCCATGAAGTTTGTACATCTGAATAACCTGAGTGCTTCTTAGGAAACTTTACTGATTATCCTAGCCTTGCAATATAATGTGGCCCTGATCTGTTTAATCAATCAGCAAGTTTTCAAGGAAGTTACTGAGTACATGACAGTAATTTCCAGAGGCAAATTGATAGATGCATGAATAAGATCTCATCCTAAAAAAAGAAAAAGAATCACCTTCTGAAAGTCCATGCTAGTTATCTGAAATAACAAAGGGGAAGCGCAAACTATGTGATCCATCAGAATGTGAGATAAACATGTGTTGCTACTCTGTGATTTTGGTCTTTATCCCAGTCTGACCCATTTCTTCAGACTGTTACCTCAAGATGCTCTCCCATGGAGTTTGCACTGAGTATACTTTAATCCAGTTTCTTAAAAATCCATAACAAATTACTAGGGTCTCAATGACTTATCAAAACTCCTATGTTTCAAAAATGATACATAAGAATCATAATATTCAGTAAGTGTGAATAAAGTATTTCATACCTGCAGGGTAGAATTTTTCCACTGGAGCAGAGCAAGAAAAAAAAAATAAAAGTACACATGCCAAGACTAGAACCTTGTTGTCACTCTAAAGTGTATTCCTTCTAAATTTACTAACTCAAACATCCCATGCTTCCAGTGTGGATCTCTTAACCTCCCATTTTGCTTGCACAATCCCCCCATTAGTACTGGTCTTCATGTTCTTCAAGACCTCTGTTACATTCTGTGTTCCAAAGTGGTTAAATTGAAGACACCAGAACTAGACTATCTAATGGTTCAAATTGCTGATCTGTTATTTATTACCTGTATAATCTTAGGTATGGTTCTCTTTACTGTAAAATTAGTGTAAGAATAACATCTCACATTTAAGTAATAATAATACCTACATCATAGGACTGTCATAAGAATTAAGTGAGTAAAAAAATGTTAAGTATTTAGATGAGTTCTTGGCATCTGGTGAGCAATAAATTATTATTATTATTACTATTGATTCCTCCAATTTTTCTTTATCCATTTTGTTTGTCCCTGTTTTTACTTGACAAACTCTATTTTAAATCATTTCAAAAAACTTTTGTAAAAATGTGAAGCCCCTTACTACTTAGTTCTTTCATTATGCCTTTCTTAGAAAATTCATATTCTGAATGAAAACACCCATGTTCACAGAGAAAACTATACATACATACAAAAAAACCAGCATCATGATATAGCCAGGGTCACTGATTAACTGAGCTCTCATGACTCCACATCAAGGAAACACATTTCTTTAGTCAATCTCCCACTATTCCATTCTTCAGAGCAACTATTTAAAACTTTCATCTTTCCTTCTGATTTCCAAGCCATTCCTATTCCATTCCTTTATCTTCAGTAGATTGCCTTCTATTTTTATGACAAAATAAAAGCCTTTAGGTGGTGTTCCCTAACAGGGCTGCTACCATTTCTCTAAAGCTATTTCTAAAGATGGATCATTGTCTTTTCTCTTGCCTTATAACACAATGGTGTTTCTGGTCCTCTTCCTATCAAACTGGAATCCCCACAGATGGAGCTGGATTCCACCTTTACCTTCTCTAAAGTCACATGCTTTCAATTTTCACCTCTTCTTTTACTTCCTAGAACTACCTTATTAGCATCTAATTATTTTTGGTTACTCCAATCTGATAACATTGCTCCCTGAAGCCTACATCTTCTTCCTCCTGTGCATAGCCAGAAAGTCAAAAGAAGTTTGTTGTCTGAACTGACTGTCCCCATTTCCTACCTGTCCATTAACTTATTCATACATCCCACCTGTCTGTTCCAATCTAGCTTCAGCTCCTATTTTTCCATGGATATGGCTCATGTCACTAACTATGTCCATGCCATTCATTCCAGAGAATATTTATTCAGATCTCCTCTTATTTGATCTTTCAGGAGCGTTCAATAAAGTCGGCTACTCTCCATCTTAAAAATTGTTCCTTTCACTTTAAAAACATTCTATTTTTAAACAGAATGGCAGGTAAGGGGATGGATGAAATAGATGAAGGGGATTAAGAGCACTCTTAGCACTAAGAAATGTATAGAATTGTTGAATCATAATATTATAATGTGCACCTAAAACTAATATAACTGTATATTAATTATAATTAAATTTAAAAAATCTATTTTCTTATGCCTATTTGACATTCTCCAGTGACCACTGTTTTTATTTGAGTTTTCCCACTCTTTTCCTAAATGATTGGTTTTATTTTTGTTGTTGTTGTTCTTGGTTTTGGGTTTGTTTGTTTGTTTGTTTAGATTTTATTTATTTGACAGAGAGCGAGAGAGAGCACACGCAGGGAGAGCGGCAGGCAGAGGGAGAGGGAGAAGCAGGCTTCCTGCTGAGCAGAAGCCTAATGAGGGGCTCCATCTCAGGACTCTGGGATCATGACCTGAGCTGAAAGCAGACACTTAAGCAACTGAGCCACCCAGGTGCCATAAATGATTGTTAAATTTTGGAGTTCTTTAAGATTTTACTGTGGTCTTTTCTTTGTTTCATTTCACTCATTTCCAGGCCTTCAACCACATCTCCATACCTAATTTGTCCAGCATTCTCAGATTTCCACACCAGAGCCCACTTTTGTCTTTATCTTTGGGCGGTGTGTCAAATATAATTATTAAATCTATTCACCCACTCACTCATTCACTCATTCAACAAGTGCTTACTAAGCATTTGTCATGTCCCAGGAACAGTTCTCCATGCTAGGGATACACAGTGAACAAACACACACAACTTTCTGCCCTCACAGAGCTTTATTCTATTGAGGGAGATACATTAAAGATTATAAACAAGAAACATATATAGTAAATTAGTTATGAGTTCTCAGGGAAAAAAAAAAGGAAAGATGGACAAGAAATGATGATGATGTAAGTGGGGTTACTTTTAGATAGCAGCCAAGGAAGACCTCTCTAGGAAGGTAACGTTTGCAAGAGAAGAAGCAAGTCATGCCAATATACAGGCAATATACAGGGAAAGGGAACAGCAAATGCAAAGGACACTGTCTCTTTTATTTCCTTTTTCCTTGTGTTCTGTGAAACTGTTTTTATGGTTTGCCTCCACTCTCTCTTATTGAATTTTCAGTCATGTGCAGTAACTATCCACTGCCTAGCAGTTTTTTTTTTTAATTTTCTGACTCCTCTTCTTAATTGTTTACTTTGCAATAAGTGATAAATATGATTTATTTTATTATTTGACTAGTAGTATCTTATCCTCAGGCAAGCAGATCCCCTTTTTAATTTATTTTAGAAGCAGGATATAAATGATAGATAACAAAATAAATTAAATCAAAATACATCAATATGTCAACTGAGCTTTTACTTTGTGAAGGGCACTATGCCTCACAGAAAAAGAGATGCAAGGAAGCCAGATTGTGGTGGGTTGAGGTATGACTGGGAGGTAAAGGCATGGAGTCACACTGTTCAGACTACACATTCCAAAAGCTTGGCAGTGAAACACACTCCAGATAAATTTGAAGTTGGATACAGCACAATTCTGTCAGTTGGCTCTTAGTGAGTTCTTTCAGGCTCTTAAAACTATTTAATTATGAACATATGAGCATAAGCCTTAATTAAGACAAATCTTTCTTCTGCCTGAATAAGAACCACCAAGATGTCAGAGGGCAAGACTAGAAGTTTCTGTCTGAACCATTTTAGCCTCCCCATTTACAGACTGTACAACTGTGTCATGCTACCAGGAACCATCAAACATGCTCTCACATAGGTGGAGGGCCATTACCACTTCAGTAAGAACTCTGGACTTGTAAAAGAAACAGACAAGGCACCACTGAGTCAGAAGCAATTTCTACTACTCAAAGTACATTTGTCCTTTGGACGTCCCACGTATGTTCCCTCAGAAATTTCTGTTATCAAAAATCCCGGGTATATTATTTCAAGACTCACTTTCTGACACCCTGACTTTTGGAACTGGAAAAAGTCTGGTGTAGTTGTCTGAGCTCTCCTGCTTATCCTTCTTGCCTTGGCTGACACTTCTGAAACCTAGACCTCTTAGCATTAAAAATATGTATGTTTTAAATTTCTACAAACCCATATAATGAACATGTTTTTCGTCTTATGCTAGAGTCCCAGGTGTGACCCTGAAATGATTTCCGGTTATTTTTCAAAAATTCTACTGGATCCTATATCAATTTTTGGTATGTTTGTTGTTGTTGTTGTTTAATTTATACCACCAGTAACATTCTTTCCTCCCAACTGAACTGAACTGGCTCATCAAGACAGTCAAGTAAATAGAAATCTGCAAAAAAACTGATACAGGTAAAAGCAGCATTTAAATGCTTCAAAGTTTTGTTCTTATATGTCTTCAACATACAAGTTTATTAATCTTTTCAAATAAAACCATTATTTTCTCAAACCAAAGGTATGAAATTATAATAAAAGCAATTAAATATATTAAATGCTGTATAATTATCTCATTTATATGGCTAAGGTTATTAGTTTATATTTGATGTCTTTAAAATAACTCCCATTTGCAGTTACATTTCAAACTGCAGATTTGACACACCAGTCAGGAGGAATGTCACAGTTCCTGCTGTGCTAAACTTACTGAAACAAATAGAAAAAATACTTTATTGTGTTTTGTTCCTGTTTTACTATTTTGTAATTGGACTACCCTACAGGAAATACTCTTCTTTATAATATATCACTGAGTTACTATAATAATCTTCTTTCATGCTCTTCCTTTATAGACAACATAAGAATTGCTGAATTATTATTTTATATTAAGGCTAAAAATAGTATGACCAAAAAACCCTTAAAAGACATTAATCAAAAAGGTGTTTTATAATTACTTATAATGATGGCAACTGTTCCTAATAACATGATTGAATTTATATTTTTGACAATGGAAATATGGGCTCACATACTCATATACAAATATCTATAAAACTACCCAAAAACAGAGAGATGGAAAGCATTCTGGGGAAAAAAATGTGCCTTTTTTGAATTTTTTATTTTATTTATTTATTTTTTAACATATAATATATTATTTGTTTCAGAGGTACAGGTCTGTGATTCAACAGTCTTACACAATTCACAGCATGTTTTAAATGATAGCAGCATAGTATCTTACTATTTAAAGATTAGCAAGTTGTTTTTTCCTTTTGATTATTAAATAAAACATGTCTTAAAAACAAAGTCTTCTATACAAAGTAGCTTTTGAAATTTATACGTGGAGATGGTCATTTAGGGTTATTTTTGACACTGCTTATATATTATCATGTATTCCATGGTTAATCTTGTCAACATTTAAAAAAACACCTTTATGAAAGTGCTAATATCTTCATTGAAGAATTAAAAGTAATCTTTAGAAAATACTTGAAAACTCCACCCCATTTCTCCCTGGATGCCACATGTTAAGACCATCTTTAAAGTGAAAATAACTTTCAATGAAGTTATTTTGTCACTGAAGTAATAAAATTCATTCAAATGCTTTTTAAGCTGGGGTAGCTTTATGAACAATTACGCTAAGTAGCAATAAAATTTCATTTCTAGTGAGTAATGAAAAGTCTTATCACATTTTATTTAGAAAAAGAAAATTTGTTAATATTAAATGTCATTTTTCTTAATCTTAATTTTCAGGTAATGCAGACATCTTTGAGGGGGGAGTATATATAATGGGATATAATATCCAATCCGGAGCTTCATACAAGTAACACCTGTTCCTTAACTTATATATCCTATAATTATAAGGATACCAAAAGATTTTGTTTCACATAAAAACACTTACAATTTCTTTAGGAATAGGCACAATTGTGAATACTACAATAACAAAAAATGGAAAGAAATTAAACATAATTTTGCAAATTATATCCTATTGTATGATGTCCTAAAACTCTGTCCTAAAACTCACTATTTGTAAGGTTTTAACATGCATTTATTTCATAAAACGTTAATTAGACGCATGCTAAATGTATCTTTGACATTATCTATCCCTAAAGAATCTCACTGATATTTATTTTCCTACACCAAAGTCTAAGTCATTTGACTGGATTCACCCAGGTATAGCATACTTAATGATACAGAACTCTCTCCTGAGAAAAGAGGGAATTAAAGAAATTAGAAGACAACAGGTCGCATATTTCAGTTGTAAAAACAGATACTTTAGGAAAAGTAAGTGCTTAAGTGGTCATATAAAAGGCTCAATTAAAACTAATTTTGCTTTGTCTCTTGGGATTTTTAAACCTATACTTCTGAGCATTGAATTGAGTTGACAGGACCAAGTTATCCTTAATTGTTCCTTGTTTAACTTGACCAATTAATTCTTTTCAAAGTAGTGAATTATTTCACTTGCATTTGAGGTAACCTGAACATACACTATTTTTGTTTTGAAAAAAAGATAAATACTAATTAGACACTTAATAAAATCTTGTCTTAAAACAAGCAATGACCTTGTTCTATTTTGATTCATTTAAATGAAATATAAATTGAAAAGTGTTTTGAAAAATAACGTTCATGGAGGTTAAGGAGATTACTAAGAATTACAGACAGTCCTAGTGACAGAGCCAAAATTAGAACCCTGGGACTGTAGGAGCCAGCTGAAAAGTAAAGCAAATAAATTTTGGTTTTGATCAGTTGAGTTTGAGGTTCCTGATGAACATTCAAAAGGTCAAATAAGCCTTAGAACCATGGCTCTGGGGTTCAAGAGAGTGATATGGCAGATAATACAGACTTAGGAGACACTAATATACAGACTGTGGATAAAGGCAAAAGAAGTAGATTATATCACTAAAGGCATGAAAGCAGTGAGAAGAGAACCAGGGATGAAAACTTCTTATGTGCCTATATTTTAGAAAAAATGATGGGGGAAGTGGATTCAATATTCTGCTTGAAAGGAACAAAACAAAAAATAAATTATAGAAAAAGAGATTTGTTTTTCTTTAAAGTTATAATGACATGTAATTGCTTATATTTACTCAGGATATAACTCATTACCATAACAATGTGTTAAAGTAGACAAGTGGAGACCTCAACTTCTAGGCAGAATGTAGTAGGTCACAGGAAGCCAATCAATGCTCCCATTGCCAAAAACTAGAAAAAGCCAAATAAACCACAAGGAGAGGCATTGGAGACCTGAGAAAGCAAAGAAAACTACACAAACTAAAGTTCCTGAGAGGGGAGAACATTCTCAAGATGAGCTGAGGAGAAATCAGCAAAACTTTTAATGATTATTGGGATGAAGAAAGAGACATTATAATTGGAAACTTAAGAAGACATATACATGTCTGTTTCCTTACTGAACATAGGCAGAATTCTAGTGGTGTGCAGGAGGCTTAAAGAGTGGGGCTGAAAGATTCTAAAAGCAGACAGAAAAGTGGGGGAGGGGTAGATGAGAATGAAATGAAAAGTGTTAGAACCAAAAGGAGAAAATGGAGAAATCTCAAATCATTGTTGAAGGTGTTAATAACCTCCTCTCAGAAAAAATAAATACTAAAATAAATAAAAATCAGCACAGATACTTAAGATCTAGATAACATCATCAACAGCCTTTAATTGATATTTATAGGACACTACACCCAACAACTGCAGAATAAATATTCCTGCCACGTCCACATGAAGCATTCACCAAAAATAAACCGTATGCTGGATAAAAGTCAACCTTCAAAAGATTGACACATTTTTATCACCCCAAGTTCATAGTTTACATAAGGGTAATATGTTTTACATTTTATGAATTCTGACAAATGTATAAATGTATAAAGACATGTAACCGCCATTATAGTATCAGAGAACAATTTCTCTGCCCTAAAATCCCTGTGCTCCACAAATTCACCCTTCCTCCCAAACCCCTGGCAACTCCTGATCTTCTTACTATCTCTATAGTTTTGCCTTTTCAAGAATGTCAAGTAGTTGGAATTATATACTATGTAGTCTTCAGATGGGCTTCTTTCATTTAATAACACACATTTAAGTTACCTCTGTTTTTGCATGGTATAATAACTAATTTCTTTTTAGTGCTGAATAATATGCCATTGTCTGTATATACTACAGTTTATTTATCTATTCATCTACTGAAGAACATCTTGGTTCCTTCCAACGTTTGCAAGTATGAATAAGGCTACAATAAACATCCATGTGCAGGTCTTCATGAGGAGGTTTTCAATTCATTTGGGTAAATATTGAGTGCAATTGCTGAATCATATGGTAAGAATATGTTTGGTTTTGTAAGAAACTGCCAAACTATCTCCCAAGTGGCTGTACTATTTTGCAGTCTCATCAGCAATGAATGAGAGATCCTCTTGTTCCACCTCTTTGTCAGCATTTGGTGGTGTCAGTGTTTTCACTTTCTGAAACATATGTATTCTAACAGGTATAATGGCATCTCACTATATTAATTTGCCACTCCTTAGTTATGTATGATATTGAGCATATTTCCACATGCTTATTGTCCATCTGTGTATCTTCTTTGGTGAGTTATATATTCAGATCTTTTGCCCTTTTTCTAATCAGGTTGTTTTCTTATCATGGAGTTTTAATAGTTCATTGTATATTTTGTAACAGTCCTTTATCAAATCTGTCTTTTGAAAATTTTTTTCCTAATAAATGTGGCTTGTCTTCTCATTCTGTTGCAGTGTCTTTCAAAGAGCAGAAGTTTTTTTAATTTTAATAAGGTGCAGATTATCAATCTTTCTTTCATGAACCATGCCTTGTTATTGTAACTAAAAGTCATTGATAACTCAAGATCATGCAGGTTTTCTCTTATGTTGTCTTATGGGAATTTTCTAGTTTTGCAATTTACATTTAAGTCTACGATCCATTTTGAGTTAATTTTTGTGAAAGGGGTAAGGTCTGTTAAGATTTTTCTTTTCTTTTCTTTCTTTTTTTTTTTTTGCATGTGGAAGTCATTGTTCAGCCCTATTTCTTGAAAGATTATCCCTTCTCTATTGTATTGTCTTTGCTCCTGTGTCAAAGATCAGTGGAGTATATTTGCATGCGCCTATATCTGAACAATCTGTTCTGTTCCATTGATTTGTCTATTCTTTAGCCAATATACCATCTTGATTACTGTAGCTTTATAGAATGTCTTAAAGTAGGGTAGTGTCAGTCCTCTGATTTTATTCTCCTTCAATACTGTATTGCCTATTCTGAGTCTTTTACCTGTCCATGTTAATTGTAGAATCAGTTTGCCGATAACCAAAAATATCTTGCTGGGATTTTGATTCAGATTCTGTTGAATATGAAGATAAAGTTGGAAAGAACTGACAGATGAACAATAGAGTCTTCCTATCTAGGAACATGGGATATCTCTTTCCTTCCTTTCTACCTTCCTTTCATCCTTCTATTTCATTCATTAGAGTTTCATAGTTTTCTCCCTATGGATCTTGTACATACTTTGCTAGGTTTATATATACATATTTCATTTTCTTGGATGCTAATGTAAATGCTATTTTTTGTTTCAAATTCCAATTGCTCATTGCTGATATTAGGAAAAATGACTTTTGTGTATTAACTTTTCTCTTACAACCTTGATATAAATTCCTTATTAATTCCAATGGGGTTTTTTCATCATTTTGTCAGATTTTCTACATAAACAATCATGTCATCTGTAAACAAATACAGTTCTATTTCTCCTTTCCCAACCAGTATACCTTTTATTTCTTTTCATTATCTTATTGCATTAGCTAGGATTCTAGTAAGGTACTGAAATGGAATGTTAACGGTATACTGCCTCACCTTATTCCTGATCCTATTAGGCAAAACATTTTTTTTTAATTTGGGTTTTTTAAATCTTTTTATTACTTAAAATAATGACATATATCCATAATCATTTTTCAATTATGGTAAAAATGGCAAGGACAGTTAGTTTTTACAATAAACTGTAAAACTACTGTCCAAAGTGGCTGTAAACTTTCCTCTAAATTATGCTTTAATTACATCTATAAAATTTTGATGTTTTATTTTCATTATTATTCAGCTCCAAATACTTTTTTTTAAAGATTTTATTTATTTATTTGACAGAGAGAGACACAGCAAGAGAGGGAACACAAGCAGGGGGAGTGGGAGAGGGAGAAGCAGGCTTCCCGCCGAGCAGGGAACCCGATGCGGGGCTCGATCCCAGGACCCTGGGATCATGACCTGAGCCGAAGGCAGATGCTTAATGACTGAGCCACCCAGGCGCCCCAGCTCCAAATACTTTTTTAAATATCCCTATGATTTCTTCTCTGTTCCATGGTTATTTTGAAATGTATTGTTTAATTTCTAAGTATTTAGGCCACTGTGGCTGAAAGTAAGTGAGAAACTGAGTCATAAAATATAAAGTCGAGGCAACAGTGGAGAGGATCCAGATTATATAGGGCATTGTTGGAATTTTCCCTTTTACTCCAAGTGAGAGGTAGGAAGTCACTGAGGGGTTTGGAGTGAAGAAGAAACATGATTTGATAAATTAATAAGATGTTTCTGGCTGCTTTGTGCAGAATAGCCTTCATGGAGGCCAAATGGAAGTGTAGTCCTCAACCTTGGCTCCATTCTGGAATTACTTGGGATGCTTTAAAAATACTGATACTAACTATAGTCTCCCCCCACCACACACACACACCATTTCATTTAATTAGTCTGGAGTTTGGCTTAGGTATTGGGGATGGTATGGGTAAGGTATACTGCTTTTTAAGGTATACTTTTTTAAGGCATACTGCTATACCTATTTTGAATACTTTAAAAAGTCCTATCCTCCCCAAGATGATTCCAGTGTGCATTCAAGGTTCCATGTATCATCACATTTGAACTGCATTTGTTGTTATATATAATCAGACAAAATGATAAAATAATATAAATAATAATAAATATAAAATAATAAGAGGCATGTAATAATTTAGTTATATCTAGAAAATCCTAGTTTGCTCACAGTTATAGGTTACAAATAGCATTTATTAGAATCAATATAGACATGATACCTTTTTGAAATAACTACATCATCTATAGAAAAATTATGTGACAAATATATTTGTTATGACCCTTAAAATCATGCAGATTTTTGGTAGAAATACTGAAAGAACATCAATTCTTTAAAGATTTCAGATGGGCAGAATAATCTTGAATAAATATGAATTGCAGTATAAGTTTTATACTAATAACAAATAATAGTAGACTTTCATTTTAATGGAATGACCCAACTCAAGGAATGATTCTCAGATTTTAATTAATGGTAGTGACTGGTTCAAACTGGCATCTAATGCTTTTTAAATTATTTGTTGTTTGCCTCTCTCTCTTTTTTTCAAGCCATGTGGCAAACCATAAGACAAACTCTTAACTATAAAGGATAAACTGAGGGTTGCCAGAGGAGGGATGGGTGGGTGCATAGGATAAATGGGTGATGGGTATTAAGGAGTGCACTTGTGATGAGCACAGGGTATTGTATGTAAGTGATGAATCACTAAATTCTACACCTGCAACTAATATTACACTGTATGTTAACTAACTGGAATTTAAATAAAAACTGAAAAAGAAAAAAATAAATTATTAATATATTTTATTCATAGTCATTTAATTATAATTATGTGTCAAACCCAGTAAGGTTTTCTTTGCATTGAAAAAAATCTTATACTTGTTTCGCTCTTTTAAAAAGAAAAAATCTGATCTCCAAAACAGCTTTTTCATCCAAACTGTTTAAATTTCAACACAATTCTTACCCCTGGGTGAGAAATGTCTCAAGCAATATTCTCTCACAGAATATGAAATTATAAATAACTTCTAAGGGGATGAAGGAAAAATGAAATATGGGGGGAAAATATGACAATGACAAATATAATACCAGTAAGTAATTTAACCTTATTGTAAATCATTTTTCTTTCCCATCTTAAAAAATAATAATGAAAATAAAAAGATTTTTCCAAAGTCTCCTGAAAGATAGAGGAAGATATTGGCAAGATGACTGGTCTGTAAACAGCACTGATATCCATTAAAAGTATTACTTCTGGAGTCCAATGACAAAACACTCATTTTCACTAAAACTTGATGAAAGTTGATATTATGGAAGATTTCAAAATAAAATGACTATTATTTCTTCTATTTGCATTCCAAAATAATGGCCCTTAAAATGCGAGAGAACTATAAGGCTAAAAGTTAGGAAATGTACTAAATTAATTTTCTTAGAAGGTTCTTGGAAAACATTTGGATGATTGAACTTTAAACATCAAGAGCATTTTTTAAAAAGACCTCAGAGTATCCCATATGGCATCTCATTTAATACTAAAAAAACTTCTTTGTGGACTAGAAGTAAATCAATTATTTATAATTCACAGATCTATAGATTGGTTAAATTTTTGAAACGAAGGAAGTTCCTTCGATGGTTCCATGGGTATAAAACTTTATAAAGGAGTTAAAATAATGGCTCATGGAACACATCACAATATTTCCAATCAATATCAGATATCATGTATGGTAACTTTAGTAGATGCCATGATTCTTCACACATTTATCAGAATAATTAACAAACTAAGATATCACAGTGTTGTATTTTTACAGGTACCACATTGTGGCAAACTAGTGCCAAAATGAAGCATAACATTATACTGTTTCATAATGTAGATGGTTCTTCAGTGGTTAGTCCACATTTTAACTCTAAACCATAAACATAACAAATTAATTTTAATTGATTCAGTGGCACTGACACCAAGACCTCATATTGGTTGCGTATTGGTGATTTTACAATTGCAATTGGAGGCTTATCTGTGAATTATGCTTATTTACTTGAATGAGTAATCTAGGAAGTACAACTTCTTCAATTTCAAGGAATAGCCCAGAAACTGGGAAATAATGACACTCAGTAAATGTTCTATAGTCATCTTTGTTAATAAAATTGGAAGAGCTTCGTACTATTTTTCAGTATTAGTCTATCAGAGACAATCACAAATTCGTTAACATATTTACCAAATTATTTTTTGAAATTTATTTTATTTATTTATTTTAAGATTTTATTTATTTTTTTGAGAGAGAGAGCATGAGCAGAGAGAGGGAGAAGCAGACTCCCTGCTGGGCAGGGAGCCCAAGGCGGGGCTCGATCCCAGGACCCTGAGATCATGACCTGAGCCAAAGGCAGACACTTAACTGACAGAGCCACCCAGGCGCACCTGAAATTTATTTTAATTGATTTATGTCAAGTCTGCTCTTAACCAGAGGCCAATAAACTATGACCCATGGGATAAATCCACCTGGCTGCTCGTTTCTATAACATTTTATTAGAACACAGCCACACCAATGCAGCCACACATATTAGTTCACATATTGTCTATGTGTCTGGTTTTGCACTACATCAGCATAACTGAATAACAACAACAGAGACTGTGTGTGCCAGAAAGTGGAAAGTATTTACTATATGGATGTTTATGTAGAAGTTTGCTTCTTCTTTAAAAAAAAATATTTTGTTTATTTCTTTGAGAGAAGGAGAGCATGAGCAGGGGGGAGGGGCAGAGGGAGAGGAAGAGAGAAATCTCAAGCAGAATCCCCGCTGAGCGCAGAGCCTGCCGTGGGGCTCCATCCCAGGACCCTGAGATCATGACCTGAGCTGAAACCAAGAGTCAGAGGCTTAACCGACTGAGCCACCCAGGTGCCCCAAAAGTGTGCTTATTTCTGTTTTAGACTATCAAGTTGCCATGCTTTGTATTTGTCAACTGAAGTAACAAAGTCAGAAAAAAGTCTAACTTACTATCTTCACCAATTATCAGAATAATACACTTTTTTCCTTCCCCAAAGATTAATAAACCCAAACACTCCCAATGGATGTAATTCAGTATATATCATAATAACCTGTACAAATACTAGATAAGAAAAGGTATTAATTTTCTGTTAAAAGTTAATGTGCTGATAATTGAGAAATAGCATAACTAAACTACAATGTATATCTTCCAGAAGAGAAGACTATTACAGAAAAAGAAATTCAATCAGTTATTATTTTATAGTACATGTGGAATAAACCCAAGCTAATTAGAAGGGGCAATAACAAAAGATGCCAATGTGTTATGAACAATAATGTATTATCTATAAACTCATTCTATTATTCTTCTTAAGTTGTAGAAAATGCCAAGCATAATTACAAAATATGTATTCAAAACATGTAAACCACTAATTTTCCACTTGTAAAAGCCTGATTCAAAAAGCAATTTACTTTATGGTTTACTTAAGCTTTGCAACTACATTAAAATATGATAGTATATACACAACAGCTTGTTAACAAGATTATCATAACATTAAAATCATAATGTGGCACTTCAATTATGGATACTTAAAATTAAAGCTAATCCTCACAGTACCAATTTTTATCTCCTAAATAATTTTAGCTATTAGCTGCTCATTCAAAGTCTGTATCTAAAATGATAAGCATTCTAGACTAAGACTTAGCTCTGCACTTTTCCTTGGTAGCAAAACAAAAGCTGTATCCCTTCCTTTCTAGTCTTTAATACACAGTCTTAAGCTACTAAGGGGAAAATGCAATTTTTTTTGTTAGCATGGCTAAATTCTACTTATGAATACTGCTGTTAATTTGTTGTTTTAAATATAAACATCCACTTTACCAATGATTCATATTTTCTTTTCTGGCTTTATCACTCTAAAGTTACTGAGTTGTCATAAAATGGTAGTTACAATTTTAAATACTCCTTTTAAATACTTCTATAAATACTCCGTTTAAATAGTGTCTAGTACATAGTAGGCACCAGGTTAAATGAACAAATGTTTAGACTAATGAATATGATAATGCATTTTATAAATATATAATTAAATTAACCTATGCCTGATTTCATCTGTGCTGTTTCAAAAAATTTATCACTGATAAGTATATGATCAATATTTCTCATATTCAAGTTCTAATTAAAATTCAAAGTAGAGAAAAAGATTTGTAAATCAACATAGTTCCAAATTCATATATACCAATCACTACCAAATCCATAAATAATTCAGAAGTATTAATGCTAAGCATATATTTAATTTTATTAATAAACATTACTGAGAATTAATATAGAACTTTTCTCCTATTTCCCATGAATAGTGAAAAATTAAAATATCTTTGGTCCATCCAAAATTAAATGACAAATCTTGCTTTCATTCACCCCTGGAGTGAATGAAAGTAACATTTGTAATTTATACTGTAAACAGATGATACCAAACATATGTTTGTGTGTACCCATATGTATACGTGTGTCAAATATGTGTATGTATATATACATATATTCATATCACACAAATTGCATAAACTTAATTACATAGAATATATAATCAAATGCAATTAATTTCATATATTTTTAGGTAACTAATCATTTCCCTAATACCTAACCTACATTTTCTAAGCTGTATTCCAGTACTATTTATTAGAGTAGTCATATCATCATTATCTAGAAAAAGTGATAGCACAATTTTGTGTCTAGATTCCACAAAATCTTAAGATATTCAGCTCAGTCACCACACGCATATGTTAGATGACCAAATGCAGGAACCTAGTGTGGGCATGGTGGAATATGTGCCTCTTTATAAAAGAAACAATAAAGACAAAATATTCTCCTCTGCATAGAAGAGGATACTCTTGTAATTTGCTGACTTGGCGGGGGTGGGGGGCAATTTTCTAGAGAGATACCTGCTGATCCCTTTAGTGAAAGAAGACTTGGAGAAATATAATTATGAAGGATCAAGAAATCTGATTAAAATAGAAAACTAACACATTGCTTCTGAATCTAATCTCACTGGTCAAACTTTTCATATAGTTAAAAAACAAACACAGATACACACATATACATGGTATTTATGATTATAATGTTTATTTTTGAAAACTTTGAAAGCAAAAGAATATGTATTAAATGTTAAGCCATCTGTAATCATTGACGGCATTATATAACACATCCAGATTTTTGAAAAAAAATTTACTTTCCCTACTATTTAACAATCTGATGATTTTACTAGAAGTATTTTGTTAATACTTTCTCATCTTATATTTTAGTTCAATGACATTTCAAATTTCTTCATGCCTTACATTCATTTTTTAAATTATCCAACTCACTCTTCATAAATATTTAGGTTGTCTTCTCCTCCCCTTTTCCTTTTTTTACTATTAAAAAAGAATTTCATTGAATCCTCTTGTACGTAAGTCCTTGTAATCCTAATAGATATGTCTAAAAAACACAGGATCTCCAAATTCAAAATACTATCATACTGCAATATTTCCTTGACCGGGAAGGGAAGATTTAGACAGAGAGAGAGAGAGAGATAGAAAGTACATAAATACAACCATACACATTTACACATATATAACATATGCATACACACAAATTTACCTACAAAAATAAGATTAAGTAGGATAATGTTAATATTCTTATCTTCAAGTCTTATTCAGATAGACAAAACTACATAGAAACAGTTTTTACTCCAGTTCATGTAGAACTACCACTTAAAGAAATACCAGTGTAGTTTATCCATTATGTTTAGGAAGGGATGCAATCTTAATATAACTAAAACTTTATTATAACAATAAGCAGCTAGGTACCAGGAGTAACACAACACTTAGATCAGTTGGTAAACAGTCCCATGACCATGACCACTGGATATTAACAGAGAAGTGAAATTAAAGATGTACTTTTTAGACTAACACGTCTAGAAGAGAATAAGTGGAAAATACCTCTTTTAAATGTCTCTGAATCTCTCCTTAAGACCTGAGTCTTTAATGAAAAGTTTAGATTGTTATTTGTATTTCTTCCACCTCTCAAAGTCTAATGAGTCTAAAGTAAAGAAACAAGCACATTAAAGCAATGTTAACCTTTTGACTTAAATAATATTTAGAATGTGGTTGTATCTCTTAAAACTATTTTGCAAGCCTATATAGTTATACTTTGTTTAACCCTGTATAAAATGGCTGTGTTTATGGCACACCTACAATTACTATTACACACACCAGAAAAAAAGCCAGAAACATAAACTGTGCAACTCAACATCACCATCTAGTGACAGAATTCCTAACACGTGACAAAGCCAAGCAAAAAGGAGGAATAAATTTCATGTATGTCCTGGAAGTTCATCTCCATAATAATAATCTAAATATAACAGGTGTCACTGAATGAGTTTGGCTCTGCAATTAAAATACTAATCCCTAATTAGTAATGTTCATATTCCAAAAATGTAATTTATATTGTTGCCATAGATGTATAACCATAAATCTGACCAATCTATATTTTTATGTATTAATTTACAGCATTGTCTAAAACTTTCATATTACATTTTTATCTTTTGTTCTTAACGAACTATATGTACCATTTCTTTTTCAGAATTTGACACTCCCTTTTCTCAAGTTATTCAATTGAATTACCTTCTAATTTCATATATGTACTAAACATATCCCACTATTGCCTCTGGAACTGAAAGGGGGACAGAGAGACACAATGTTAAAAAGGTTCCACGTTAACCCTTGACGTTTAGAATTTATTACAGGGTCTAAGACAGGTGCAAAATATGATAATACAGAAATCAAATCACTTTGGCATGATAAGAAGGTTGAACTGGTAGCGATAAGGAGAAAATATGACAAAAAAAAGTTGTGAATTTTACCTCTAAATTCACTAGTATCATACAGTAAAGATTTAACCCAGAGATGCATTTTCTTCCTGTATTTAAAATGTTTTTTTCTTATGTCATCATGTTTAGAAATCTTGTACAATATTTCTACACAGCTATGGAACTACAGTAAACTCTGTTTAAGTTAGACAAGAAATATTCCCTCTGGTTATTCTACATTCTAAGGCTACACCAAAGTTTTCCAGTCAATTCCATTATGTATGACATATGTAAATTCTTTTAAATAATCACTATAACACCATTAAATGCTTATTAATGTTTCATAAATTACAAAGCATCCTCTCCTACATTATTGTTGTTTTTCATATCAAGCCTATTGAGTTTTTAATCCTAGTTTACAAAAAAGTAAGACTAAAAAAATTTATCTAAAATCACAGTTGGAGTCTAAAATCTGATTTTTACCACTTATCCTAGTATTCATATTTTATTCTTTCCATTTCGCCATTTCTTACTTCATTATTTTTCAAATCATTCATAACATGCTTCCATTATAGAAAATTTAGAACAGAAAATTATAAGCCTGAAAAAAGTATCTGTTCACCCATCACCTAGATATAATAGCTATTTTACTATATTTTAATTTCATCTTCTTTCTCTTCATTCTTTATATTCAGTGGGGATAATGTTCTACATGCAATTTTGTTTCCTGGCATTTTTCAGTGAACGTTTTAATGTGAGGATTCGTGTGTTACTAAAAAACACTGTGGTGAAGATCATTTTAATATCCAGATAGAATTAAATATGCCACAATTTACCATTATGTGTCTGTGTAAAATATCATACATGTTAAATATATGTTTTCTAAATTATTTAAGTTTATATATCTATATATAAATATAAAATCATATGCATGTATATATAAATATAAGTCATATGTATTGTATATATAGTACTCATCTCATTTCCTTATAATAGTAGATGACTAGGTTCTATTCAATTTGTTTGCTGTTATATTCTAATAATTTGAGAAACAGATTCAGGTTGTCCATAATTTTTAAGTCTTCTGCATAATCTATTTCAGGAAGTTAAATTAATATGGAAAGGGTATGTTAGTTTTAAGGCTCTTCGTACTTATTGGTGCAATCCTTTCCTTAAATGCAGCAATCATTTCCACTCTTCTTGAGGTGCAAGAATGAGAAATGGGTGTCTTGCCATTCCATTGCTAGGGCTCAAAAATCTCCCCACTGAACTGCAGTAAAGTCAGTAATCAATAAATTAGTACACTTTTTATATAAGTTATATTTTGTTGGCTGTTACAGTTGAATATTTTCAAAGATTTCTTAATCATACTTTGCCAATTATCCACTGAGCTCCTAATCTTTTGAATCTCTTAAACACACAGCAATATAGTACCCTGCTGTTGTCTTTTAATTTCATGATTTCTTTCCACATACAGAAGCTTTTTAATGCAAAGCTTAATGATTTCTTCAGCTACTTTTTAGCTTTTCATCTCTTTCCACATCCAAACCTCAAAAAAAAAAAAATAGTCACTTCCATATCTAGTGGACTTTGGCTGTTCATTTATTTCATTTAGCTGTTTAATATACATGAAACATCCTTTAGCATCTGTGAGGTGAAAATATAAAGTGATTTCTTTTTTCCAAATAACAAAACAACCACCTCTTATACCCCCTTCTGAGTGATTCAACATGTCCTCAATGATTTGGGGTACCTTAAAATATAATAAATTCAAGGACTGTCCATCGCAACCACCAACTAGTTATGGGTAATACATAGAAAACTTCAGAAGTTTCCATCTTTATCTTAAATCTGACCACATTACTAAATTCTTTTATTAATTCCTAGAGCGTTATTGTTAATACTCCAAGAGAATAATAGTCACTTACCTCCTCCATATCACGTCATTTTTGTTAATTTTGGTTTTACAACCGTTACTATGTTACAAATCTACCTTTTACTCTTCATTTTTTGAGAGACCCAGCGTATGATGTATACGTGTGATGTGTGTGAACATGGTTTGGCCTTACCCTAGCCACTCACTCCACTGATGAGAATCCCATTAGTGAGAGATGGTTGAACGTCATGTTAGCAACTCAAACATATCCCTGTAGGGTGATGCTTTCCAAATCATAGCCTCTAACTGCATACAACTATTTACATTTAGATTAATAAAAGTTAAGTAAAATCAAATATTTAGTTCTTCAGTTACAGTAGCCATAATTCAGGTGCCTAGTAGCCATGGATGGCCAGTGGCAATCACACTAAAAAGCACATAGAATATTTCTACTAAACAGTTCTACTCCAGTTCACAGAAAGTTCCACTGGGCACTACTGCTCTAGATATCTCCAGGAGCCACAGAACACTGCCCAGGAATGCCACCCACCCTTTTCTTCTCAGGCACACCATTTTACAGTTCCAGCTTACTCTGTTGGAGAAAGTTATTTATAATTTTTAAATCTCAAAATATGTTTCTTTGTGACACACATTTTCCTAAGCCCAATATTTTCTTAGGCATCTGGTTAACTCTCCTCCTTTCTGATTTGATGTCCTATTCTTGGAAATCACATCCTTTCCTATGGCTACAAAAATCAAAATACTTAACAAGTCCCAAATGTGCAGATCAACCCCCAGTATTTTTCCTGAGTTGTAGAATTATATTTTTCCTCTCCTTATTGCAAATTTACATATGAGTTTGCCGTAGCTATCTCAAATTGATCTGAAAACCTACTCTTCCTTAATCCTTTTTTTCTCTCCCTATATTAATGTATATCCAAATATTCAAAATAAAAACATCTGACTTCCCTTACTGATTCTCCTTCTTATCTTTATCTTTATCAAGAATTCAACAAATAATTATTGAGCACCTACTATATGCTAATACTACAGTGAGCCTAAGAATACAAACAAGGGCAAAATAGCAATCCTCCTACTCTCATGGAATTTACTGTCTAGTTGGGCACACAAGTTAGAATTTATTCAAAAAGGGTAAGGATACTTTAAAAGGTTTTAAACAGAGTAGCACAGATTAAATCAGGGTTATGAGTTACTGAAGCTAAGCCACAAAGTCTCATCAGATCTACATTCTAAATATTTCTGTATTTCTCAACCATACGCCCCTGTTTTGTTGACCTCAACACCCTTCCACCTTTACCTTAGTGAGGTCACTGATTTCTCTAGCTCTCTCATCCTCTCCACGGCACCCTCTGCTGCAAAAACAAACTTTTTAATTATTTTTTCCCATTCTAGGATTAGCTAAAACCTGATTAGATATCTGTTTTTTTAGCCAACACATTCCAGAGTAGGTTGTAGCCCCTTGTGTTTTAAGATAGCTGGCTACAAGTCCTCATATCTGGGATCAGAGGGAAGCACGGGAGGGGTCTAAAACGATTCATGAGCTGGGATACTGAGAAAAGAATGTGTTCAAGAGTGCATGGCAAAGACTGGCCATGAAGAGATATTGGATGCGATGACAGAGAATTGAACAAGAACAGAATCCTCTTTCCTATTCTGCATTCATAAAAATAGTAGAACTTTAATAAACAGGGAGGGATATCCAACTTGGTGACAGTGCCCAAACACAGCACTCAGAAAATGTCAGTCTTCAGATTCAGTCCTCTTCTGCTCTAGCTTCTCCAGGCTAGACAGGCTTAAGACAAGAACACCACTGTGGGTGTCTGGAGCCACCCA